TTCTATTACTTACTTTGCCCTAACCTCTCTGCTCGACCCTTGGTATGGTCCCCTGTTGTCAGTCAGCCCAGCTCACTCTCAGCATAGATTTCCATTGTTTCCTTTCTCCTTTCCTACAAATATTTTATACTTATCCCGTGCTGATCTTTGTTAACTGACTAATAGAAATCGACTTCAAGATATGCTTCTTTTCAATAAGTCATCCCTACTTTACTGACAGCATCACTTGACACTTTGTGCCAGAATACACGGAGCTACAGGAAGAATTTACACAACCATTGTCTTACAGCCTCCAGGTCAGCACTGTGATCTGGTTTTTCTCAGATGGGAGTTGAGAGACACAAGTTCTAGATAGCTGTTCAACCACCAATTATCTCTGTGACCTAAGACATAGTGCTTAATCTCACTGGACTTGTGTTTTCTTGTCTATATAAGTCAAGGGGTAGGAATGTGCAATGGAAGTCCAGACTTCCTTTCTCACACATTTGTTATGAGGCTCAAGAGAAATAATGTATTTAGGTGTAGTTTAGAAGTCAAATGCATTGTATAAACACAACTTTTAAATCTACAACCCTGTATCGCTTAAGCCCTGGGAAACCTGAGTGAAGAGATAATGGGTTTGCATTCTAATCCCATCTAAAATGTCAGACTCACCTACCTTCCCCATAAATGTTGTTTATCACCTCATCTCTATTTTATTTAGAAGATTATTACAAAAGATTCTATTTTGGCTTTGAATATTGCCAAGGTGGCAACATGGGGAAGATAGGCAGCTGCTAAGACTCAGAAAAAGGCACCTAATTCATTCAAAATTTCTGTAAAATGGAGAACTTAAGAAATTTAAAACTATTGGTCCAGGGCCAAGGGGCCCTCTAGCACTGCATTATCACTCAGATTCAATAATGAAAATGAAATGAGAAAAAGAAAGAAGAGCTGCAGTGTTGTAATGGTTCTCTGGCCTCTGCTTAAATGATCCTTGGCTACCTGAAATACCAAATTCTGCTGAAAAACACTGCAGAAAAAAAGATACCCTACCCAGTAACCTGTAATGCATGAGCTGATTAGCAAACATTTCCTAAATCTTTCTCTGACCTCATCGCTGGATTAGAGTTTGAGGAAGATACACAGCATCTATTCTAAGCAAAGCTTTTTCTGGTTTTGCTTTTAATAAAAACAGGTTATAGAGGGGAGGAAATATACTAGTTGCAACAAAAGTGCCTTCCAAATCAGGCTCCAATCAACCATTCTGATTCCCTGTTACCAAAAAAGACATACATAGAGCATTGTATTCAAAGCTAGTCAGAAGAAGAAAGAACAAAACAGACAAATAAAATCAGCTCTTTCTCTCAAACTGTGACAGACATCTTTTGAAGCATGGAGAATTCATTTTAAAAGACTCAAAACTAATCATAATACAATTCCAGTAGTATATAGACCCAGCAACCTACCCAAGTGGAGCAAAAGCTGGACACAAACAACACCCAAATGATCTTGGAGCAAGAGATCACACCATAAATTTCAGACTCATTATGACTGAGCATAGACAGAATTATAAACAAGAGTTCGCTGAATATACATACAGTGATGACTCCAAGTTGTCTCCTAGTGCTGTCGTGCTTGGTGACAAAATCGTCTGTGTCAAAACCCAAAACGCAATCTTATTCTGTGACTGCATAGCTTTCAGCTTTTCTGACTCCATGTTGAGGCTTTGTAAAGGAAACATTTAAATGCAGGACCCAAGTTCCTTCGAAGGATTTTTTGTTTGTTTGTTGCTTGTTTTGTTTTTACCAGAGTGTAAAAACCTGGAAAGTGACCCCAACCCTAGGTTTAAAACTGGATAGATGTAACACCTGTGGGTTTCAGTTATGGACAGTCATGGTTAACACAGCTTGGTGTGTGTGTGTGTGTGTGTGTGTGTGTGTGTGTTTTGAGTGTGGGATCAGAGAGAGGAGAAAAATCCCAAAGAGGGGGAAGCAGGTCGACACATAAGATGGATTTATTAGAAAAAGGCCTGCCAAGTAATAGAGTTGAAGGGCTCAGCTCCCCCGGGTTTCTCCCATCCTAGAGGTTAGAGATGGTCCCTGTGCTGGGCTTTGTAGCTGTCAAGCAGTGTGACTTGTATTTAGAATGATAGGTTTAAGTAAAGATGCTGCAGCAAGTGTCAGAGAAATGCCGACTGCATCATAGATTCTGGTCTTTGGAGAGGGATATATTAGACTGCCACAAGTGGCATTCATTGCTAAGATGTGATGTCGAGAACAGAAAAATACTGCAGATTCTAGAAAATAATTGGTGACTATCAGCTAACAAAGGAATAGGGACCAGCCGATGTTGCACTCTGGAAAAAGATTGATGGAGGAGGGGCTGCAGATGGAGGGCTGCCATCCAAACTGCAGCATTCTCTGTGTGGGAGATAAATTCACTTGTCATATTTCAAATTAGGTTTATAGGTATTCCTCCCCCACCTAGCTGTGGCTTGATGGGAAGACTTCTCAAATTTTAATTCTATATGGCAGCATATTGGCGTCTAAAGTCTAGGTCTAAGATGATGGTTTGTAGGTATGTGTGCATGACTAACAAGGACAGAGCTTCTAAAGTCTCCTAATGTCGTTGGAGGGAAGGGTGCTGCTGCAGCAACCTGTCCTTTTTGCAACACATTTTTCCATCTCTGATGTCAGAGTGCTTCGTGAGGCTTAAAAATAAAAAAAAAAGAGGTGTGGGTGTTGGAATTATTTTTTTCTCAGTCCAGGACATGACCACACACACACACACACACACACACACACACACACACACACAAGTTAGATTAGAAGTCTTGCAGATACCTAGGAAGTCCAGCTAAAGGCAGAAGACAGTCTCTCCTATGGCAAAGCCTAGCTAGACAGATGCCAGATAGCTGCGGAGATCAGCACAGCCTCAGCTGCTGAGCTCGCAGCCTAGCCACCACCACCGCCAGGGCACACACTCTCTCGCCTTGCTGTCTGGCGCGCTGGGCTGCATCTGCAGGCTGCAGAAAGCCAGGGCTCCAGTTCTCCCTCATCACACTTCGTTCTCAAACACCTCAAAACCGGTACGGAATAGCAACCTCCTCAACTAATGTGATTTAGAAAACCGCAGGCAAAATAAAATAAACCGGGGGCTCAGAAGACTATCAGAGGAGGTTCTCCCCACCCCATCCCCGTCTCTCTTTTCCCAATCTCTGCAGGCTAATTTCTTTTCCTGGGTTAAATAAAAGATATTACTTGTCCATCCTGACTTGGAGATTGGTAAGGAAGTGGATAGGGAGGGCAAGAGGTTGATCCCAGGCTAGATCCACCTGCTGCTGAAGTGAGAGGGCGATTAACTACCTTATGGAAGCTATTAAAACCAGCAGCGGCTTCTGTAGAGTGTAGAAGGATTGCAAAGACCCTCTCCTTCTCTGTCTCTCTCTCTCTCGCTCTCTCTCTCTCTCTCTCTCTCTCTCTGTGTGTGTGTGTGTGTGTGTGTGTGTGTGTGTCTTTGGCTCTCCGTCTCTCTGTCTCTTCCTTTCTATCTCTGTCTCTGTCTGTCTGTCTCTGTCTGTCTGTCTCTCTCTCCCCCATTTTTGTCACTAAAGAGTTAACCCCGGCCGGGCTCCAAGTCCTCCCCACAAGCCACTTCACTCCCCCTCCTCTTTTTTGCCCCCCTCCCTTCCCGCGCACGTCGCTAAGAGGTCATCAAGCGCTCTGCCCAGTCGCGTTCTCAAGTCTTACTCTTTCCCGCCCATCAAA